CACATTCAGTAAAGTGGCAGGTTACAAAATGAATCTACAAATGTCTGTAGCCTATCTATATACCAATAACAAGCAATCAGAAAAAGAGTACATGGAAACACTCCCTTTTACAATATATTCCTTAAAAAAATCTCAGAATAAACCTGACCAAAAACATTAAAGACATGTACAATGAAAATTTAAATCTTTAAAGATTGAGATTGAGGAAGACACCAGAAGGACCTCCCATGCTCATGAATTGGAAGAATTATTATTGTGAAAATGACCATCTACCAAAAGCCATTTATAGATTCATTGCAATGCCAATCAAAATCCCCATGATCCACATGGAAGCACAAAAGTTCTCAGACTGCCAAAGCAACCCTGAACACTAAGGGCAATGCTGGGGGGATTACTACAGATTGTAAACTATATGACAGAGCTATAACCATAAAAACATCATGGTAACAGCACAAAGATAGACCCATAGACTAATGGAACAAAACTGAAGACCCAAATATGAGAAAATGCAATTTCAGCCACCTGATATTTGACAAAGGAGCCAAGAATATTCACTGGAGGAAAGAGCGTGTTCAGCAAATGGTGCTGGCAAAACTGGATCTCCACCTGTAGAAGAATGAAACTAAACCCCTATCTTTCACCCTGCACAAAAGTCAATTCCAAGTGGATCAAAGACCTCAATATAAAGTCTGAAACTGTTAGAAGAAAACACTGGGGGAAAACCTACAAGATATATGTGTAGGAAAGGATTTTCTAAACCGGACATCAATTGCTCAGGAAACAAAGGCAAGAATTAACAAATGGGACCTCATTAAACTAAAAAGCTTCTGTACATCAAAGGAGGCAACCAGGGAAAGGAACAGAAAACACAGAATGGGAGAAAATCTTCACCAGTGACACATCCTACAGAGATTTAATATCCAGAATATATAATGAACTCAAAAAATAGAGAATCAAGACAAGAAGTAACCCAATTAAAAGATGGACTAAGGAGTTGAACCGAGAGTTCTCAAAAGAAGATGGCTATGAAGCATCTTAAAAGATATTCATCATCACTAATAATTAGGGAAATGCAAATTAAAACCACTTTAAGATTTCATCTTACCCCAGACTAACTAAGACCAAGAGAACAAATGATACCAAATGTTGGAGAGGATGTGGGGAAAGGGGAACACTCATCCACTGCCGGTGGGGCTGCAAACTTGTTCAACCCCTATGGAAAGCAGTGTGGAGAACTCTTAAAAAACTACAGATGAACCTACCATTTGACCCAGTTATACCACTCCTTGGCCTATACTCAAAGAACACATCCTATTGCAGAGACACTTGTACATCCATGTTTGTTGCTGTTCTTTTCACAATAGCTAAGAGATGGAAGCAACCTAAGTGTCCCTCAATTGACAAGAGAATAAAGAAAATCTGGTTCATTTATACGATGGAGTTTTACTCAGCAGTAAAGAAGAAATCGTGAAATTTGCAGGTAAATGGATGGAACTAGAAACTGTTATACTAAGTGAAGTTGACAATCAGGATTAACTATAGTTATTTTAAATTTCCTGATTATTCTGAAATCTGTATCACATCCGAACTTCCAATGTGGGTTATGTCCCATCACTTTTTTTCTCACTTCTTAGCATGCATTGTAATCCATGATTTATTAGGTAAAGGAACTGATGTTTAAGTAGACAGTAGTATGAGGTTTGATAATTCGTTTAGGAGTCAGTTTAATGTTTACTGCAACTTTACAAGCCAGAGCTTCAAATTCATGTTATGTATGGTTTTGTCTCTTTCTGTTGTCTGGGTTTCCTTGAGAACTGCTTCCCATCTGTGCCTGAAATCTCTTTCAGCTGTGCACATTAGAGCCCTGTTATTTGAAGGCTTCTAGCTGTAGTCCACAGCTGTTACACTGGAGCTCTGCTGTGGTGGTTAGAGAAGGGAAAGTATTTTACAATATTAGGACCAAGTCCCAGGTTTTTAGTGGATCTGGGGCTTTGGGCTGTGACCATCGGAGGCATCTCTTAGCTGTTTCTCTCCTTTGAAAGACTTGTGGTGGGTAGAGTTAGGGAATTGTCCTGGCTTGCTTGGGTTGGATAAGTTATGTTAGGCTTTTGATTTTATCTTCTGGAAAATAATTTTTTGTTACAGAAACTGATCTGGACAATAAAAAAATATTTGCATTTTATGTGCATGAGTGTTTGGCCTGCATGTATGCAAGTGCATTGTGTATGCAGTGCCTGTGGATGCCAGAAGAGGGCATCAGATCCCCTGGAATTGGAATTATGGACAGTTCTTAGCCACCATGTGGGTGCTCATACAGCCTACCCTCGCTCTTAAACCCCAAAGGCTCTTTCTCTTAGAACATGTATCTAACTCTGCCCAAACTGTGCGAAAACCCTGCACCCCTAGAATAAAGAACAAATTGTTAGTGGGACATTCAGATTCTCATGGTTCACCCATCCCCACTCTTGGGCTGAGGTGCTAGAAACACCCTCAACCCCTCCCAGGTTCTCTCCAGCCATCCCCTTTGTACATGTGGATCCTTCTGGAAGCCTTTCTCATTCTGACACACTCCTAGTGCCAGTAAGCCTTCCCTGAATTTGGATAGCCTCAGTCATGGTGGGGTCTGCTGATGTCCTCCAAAGGACTTTCCCCCAGCATCAATCACTCATCTTCCTTGAGGCAGAAGTCATGGGACCCAATACTTTACACCTCTTGTTCTTCTTAGAGGTGGAACAGGGACCCACTTTGGCAGCCTTCCTTGTGAGCCCTTTATAGTTGACAAGGCAGGAGGTCTTCATGGAAGGGGTACCTGTTGCATAGCCTGGGGAGGTGGATGCCAGGGAGGCCCATCCCAAGCTGCAGCACTTGTCACCTATGAGCCAAGCAAGCTCCTTGATTTTGTGTGTGTGTGTCCGCTTCATCATTTATACAGAATATACAGGATCTTACGTGGAGGGGTTTTTATGTAGCAACTGCTTTGAGTGATATCCACCATGCCCATACTAGCCAAGCACTCCTATGTCCTGGAGCATTTTATTCATATCCCCAGCATGAGGGTAAGAATGTTAGCTGGATCCAGTGCACAAACTGGGCAAATGACCGTCTTCTACTTCACCCTGGCCCACTATGGCTCAGCCTTCTTGCATTTTCATGGAATGCGAGAAACCCAGGATAGGGAACAAGGAAGGCTGCAGATATGGGGTACAACCAGGGTGGCCTGGAGTACCCACCAGCCCTCAATGATGGAGGTAGTGGCAGCAGCCACAGGAGAGTATAGAATGTAGGAATGGAGCTGTACCCCAGCCCAGGCTGCTGACTGGGCCAAGGTGAAGATATTTTTTCTTGGCCTTTCTTTTGCTAGTTTCATAACCCCAGTGCAGAACAGCCCCTATCTTTTCAGGTCTTCCCACACCAAGTGAATGAGAGCTAGGAGTTTTGACATCACATGATGTTCAACCCTAAGGGGCAAGAGTTATTGCCCATGTTACATGTAAATCCAACACGAGGTGACCAAGATTGACAGGAGACTAGGGCAAACAAGTACTGCTTCATCCCTCTTGTTGGCCATGGGCTTCCTCTAAATGCCACCCCCATCACTCTCCAATCCCATGCTGTCCCTCATTCCAACAGTCCTCAATTTCCTTCCAGCTATGAGAATACTCTAGGGATTCTATTCAACTTCTCCCATCTCAGAAACATGGCTCCCTTCCCCGATTCCTCAACCTGAGGCATCAATAACTTGCCCTATCCACCCTCAGTCAGGTCCTTCCATTTACTTCAGCTGCCATCCTTCCTTCCATTGTCTCAACAAGGCAAGATGAAGTGCCTATGGCAGAGTTGGAGCCCAACCAGACAGAACCAGGAGGGGATCAAGCTGCCCAGAGGGGAAAGGAGCTGCCTAGTAGCCTGGAAGGTCAGGGAGGTCAGGGGAGTACAGGAATTGTGCCTTTGGCATCTCTTCCCACCTTCACCTCCACCCTAACCCCTACCACCGATCCCACTGCTTGCCAGCATATAACAGAGGTGTCTGGTTTTCCCCTTCCTCTTTGTCAACCAAATGTGACAGACCAGTGGTTCACAACACATTTTGTTTGGCCTGCCATGTTTTGAGTTTCACTTAGCTGCTAACATTTAAAAATCAGAAGATTCTGCTGAATCTTCTGATCCAGCAGAATCCAGCATTCTAGTTTCTTCTGAGAAGTCAGATCTGGATGCCAGGCCCATGATCCTCCATGGTGACAGCAGCTGGTATCTGCTGCTTTTTGTGGGGTTTGTGCTCTGGTTTCTGAGGTTCTAAGTGTCCTTGTAAGCCATTACCATGCACACCAGCCCCATGGCTTCTGACTACATCTCTGCACAAGGCTGTCTGGTGGGAAGCAGCCAAAGACACACTGCCAATGCTGTAGCCAATCGTTCATTGCCCATAGGCAGAGTAGGAAGAGCAAGAAGGCAGGGTGGAATCAAGAGCCGCCTTCCAGTCTCTCTCTCCAAACAGTTTGTTTCCAGTAGCTTCCCAGGTATGGCCTGCATCCTGCCTTGGCTCAAGCCTGGCTCTGGGGGCCCGGCTGGTACAGACAGAGGCTGGCTGGCTATTTCTTCAGGCCACTCCAATCGTACCCCTGCTGGGCCCAAGGCCAGAGGTTTTCTCCCAAGCCTGAGTAGCTTTGGGTCTAAAGAGGCGTAGGCTTCCTTACTCTTTAGCCAACTCAGCCAAATACGCACCAAGGGGTGGCCACCTTGTCACAGTCCAACATGACATTGAGAACAGTGCAGGGTGCTCCACCCACAGACAGTGCTGTGCGGGAATCTACCCGATACTTCACAGTGTTCAGGCCTCCCTCCCGGTCCACCTTGAATTGCTCCTGGGAAGAAAATGAGGAAAGAGCATCAACTTGGGGCTTCATGATGCCAGCTGTCCACAGATCCCATACTACCTTGTCAGAAGTCCAGAGATCTCCACTAAGAGAGGAGCCCAAAGCTGAAGTCTTGTCCAAGCCTGTACCCCATCAATAAGAAGGACTTTTCTATGGGGAAATGAATCTCTAAGAGAGGGAGCTGTGTGACAGACAAGGGTTCTGGCTGCTTTAACTAAGCCTTCCCACCCTCAGCCTGCCTGGACCTGAGGTCTGGACTGACACACAGTGGCCAGATGCACAGAGTGGCCACCAGAGCAGAGCACCGCCCACGCAGAATGCCCATCAACTGGCCTAGGTCCTGCAGGGGAGGACGGTGCCATTCAGGCCCAAGGGGAACTTGGTGAAATGATGAGGCCTGTTTGCTACTCATCACCACTCTGTCCCTGCTGAGGAGAAAAGCCAGCACCTGTTTTTGAGCTGCGATGCGTTTCTGATCCCTCTTCCGCCAGGCTGGGTCATGCAGGTGGTGAAATGTCTGGTATCCAGTTGTGATTCCTGAGGGACGGAAAAGCTAAAGAGACCAAAGGAAGTGAGGGTCAGGCTGCTTCTCTTATAGCCTTGGCCCTTACCACTAACTCCTCTGGGGTCCCACTGCTTGCCATAGGCAGGGGCTCTACTGCCATCCTACAGGAGAGGAGATTGAGAGGAGACTAGCAGAGAGCACAGGACTGGTTAGAAAGCTCCTGCAAGTCAGGATGAAAGGGATCAGAACCCTAAAGCACCTCTAAAACCAAACAACTTCTCTGCAGCAAGTAGAGACTTGGGACATGTGGCCCAGGAGGCAGGGCCAAAGGAGGAGCCTTACCTGGAGGCCAGCTCCTTTGATGCGCCGGTAGAATTCATCATCCTCTCGGCCCCAGCCCCAGAAGCGGTTGGACATCCCGTTGCACTGACACAAAGACAGGCAGTGTCTGTCACATGCTCCCTCCTCCCAGGGGTGCACTTTGGTCTCCTACTGCTCAGGAGAACCAAGCCTGAGCCCAACTAGGCAGGCTGCCCTTTCCTCTTCCTACCCTGGCTGTTTTAAATGAATACTGGGTGCTGGCAAGTCCCTCTACCTCTCTGTGGGGATGTGGGGCAGAAAGACAGGTTAGCATAACTCAGTCCCTCCCCATTTCTAAGGGACCCTTGAACTTGTATGTGATTAGTGTCTCAAAAAATGTAAGACCTCTTTGGGAGGCAAAAATGCCAAAAGCTACTGATTTCTGCCTTCCTCTGACTCTCTTCTCCAGTGGCTCTGATCTCCTCCTCCTATGTGAGTGAGGGCTCTATGACAGTTCCTACTTTTGCAACTGCTAAGGGACTTCATTTACACAAAGCAGGCTTTAGCCTGGGACTGCAGAGAAGAGCCACGCCAGTCTTCTTGCCCACCTGGGCTCCTGAGTCCAATTAAGAGCCAGTGTGCTTTAGTTTGGGACTCTTACAGGGGCTTCTGGGGAGGGAGGAGCTCCATCTCCCACCAACTAGGCCACATTATACAGGTTGCAGCTATGACGGCCTTCTCATACTAGAGAAATGTAGAGAAGGCAGAGTTGAGGTATGGAAATAAAAACAGAGGCCTGGCAGTACTACTGAGGCAGCAGTACTGCAGACCCTCACACCCCCAGCTCTCTGAGGCCAGCTGTCATGGGGGTTTCTGTGGCCACAGCAGAGCTCTTCCTCACTACTGTGCTTACCCCTGTTCCTCTCTCATGTCTCTGGCTACTGCTGGGTCCCCCCTGCCAGGTCCAGGCAGGACTCTTCTGTTGGAGCCCAGGAGGGCTGCTCCATCCTCCCAACTGCCCACACCCTGGGCAGGTAGGTCCCCAGCTAATGAGCAAAGAAGGTAGGGCTAGACCTCACCAGCTGGTAGTGCTGCTTGGAGAGCAGCAGGATGCCGCCCACATAGGTCTTGTAGTGGTAGAGTGGGTGGAGCTCCGGGGAGGCCACGTGGAAGGGCCCGGCCTCCGGGAAGCCATAGTCCAGCTCCTCATTGAGAGGAAGCAGGTCCACATCATGCATGGCAATGTAGTCCGTGCTGTTGCTGCTCTCCAGGAATCCCACATTGATGAGAGCTGCCCGGTTGAACCTGCACAGGACAGATGAGGCTGTGTGGGGGCGAGCTTGATCATCATCCTAGCTCTACCCTTGGTCTTAGGTGAGGGCTTCTTACTGCCTCTCAACACACACTGATTTCACTCATGGGGTTGTCCCTTTTGCTGGCTGCACAAGTTTTACTGAGTACCTACTAAGTGAAAGAAACTGTTCAAAACTCAACAGCAGTAGAAAAACAAATCTGTATGCTCAGGGAACTTAACATCTAATTAAGAAGAAACAAATCAACGAGGGTGTGAAGGAAATTTGGGGGCCAGGGCAGCTATTCTCCCAGACACAGCTGCCAGGAGGGCCAGAGAGGCAAGGCAACATCTAACCCGGGACTTGAAGGCCTGAGGTAATGAGCTATATGGATGTAGGGGGCAGGGCTCCAGGCAGAGAACACCAATTGCCAAGGCCAGCATCAAGAGCAGAAACCATGTGGCTCTATTTGGTATATTGAGAAGAAACCTGAGGGGCAAGGGGAGAAGCAGGAAGAATAGCTGGGAGGCAAGAGGTGACGGTGGCCTAGCTCAAGGGGGCAGCAGAGAAGGTGCAAAGTGGGCAAATTCTAGATGTATTTTGTTGATGGACTGAATGTGTGACAGAGAAAGAGCAGCTAAGATGATTGAAAACCTTTTTAGCTTGAGTAACTAGAAGCATGGGGTTTTCATTTCCTGAAATGGGGAGAGGGAAAAGAAAGCAGGTGAGAGTGGGACAACAATGGCATGGGATTCCCCAGCCTGCACACACTGAGGGAGACAACGGCAAGCACTGAGATGATATGTGATCAGAGACAAGAGAATAGGAAATGAGATGAGCAGACCATGGAGGAGGGCAGAGCCTCGGAAGGAAGGATCTTCTTGGCAGAAGCTGCTGACAGGATAGGACAAGGCCTGGGATAAGGAAATAGAGGTCACCTGTGACCTCAGTGAGGGCTGTTTCAGTGCAATAAGTGAAGTGTGATGGAATAGGCTGGAGGAACAGAAAGGGGAGGAGCAGAGAAATGGGATGACAGCTATGGGAGAATGGGAGAATCAGATAGAGAACTCTTTTTCCCTTTTAAAACATTTATTAGGGGAGGGTGCCATGCTACAGGGCATGGTGGTGGTCGGAGGACAACTTATGAGAGTCAGTTCTTTCCTTCTACCAACGATATGGGTTCTGGGGACCAAACTCAGGTCATCAGGCTTGGTGGCAAGCATCTTTATTTGATGAGCTGTCTGATCAGCCCCTCTTCTTTCTTTTGGAGGAGCATCATTTCCATGACATGTATGTATACACACAGATGTGAATCCCAAGAGACAAAAAGCAGATTGTGCAGGAGATGAGGTTGACCTTGAGTGGAAGGAAGGAGAGGGGTCCAGGGCCACGGTGGGAGAATTGGTCTCAGAAAGGGCTGGGATAGTCATCCCTAGGAGGTGAGCAGAGATGGTAGGGACCGAAGAAAGTGCTCCTCCAATTGTTTCCACTTTCTCAAAGTGGTCAGGAGCAGAAAGTGAGGATGAGGAAAGTGAGTGAGTCTGGGAAGGTTAGAGGAATGCCAGCCTTTCAGGAAGGATAAAGGCTTTCTTGGGTCTGGATTCATCATCAGAGACAAACAGCATGGCCATGAATGTTGCTGATTAGGAAGTAGGAAGCTATGGATGGATGCAAAGAAGTGATTTTAATAGTGGACCATGGACTCTAGGTCTGACAAGGAGAAAATGGCGCTAAGGAGGGCGGTGGGTGGCAGTACGCCAAGGCTCATGGGCTATAGGACATCCAAGAATCACTATAGTTCATCTTCCAACAGAAGTAAGTTGGAGAGAAACAGGGTAGGGTTTGGGGTGTGAGATGACTGGATGGAGGTGATGGAGGGGTACCATTTGGGCAAGGCTTTAGGAAAATGACACATGGTGGGGAACAGAGGGACTCTCCCTTTCTCTAATCTCTCTAGCCAGTCACCAGCAAACCCTGCCTGTACTTCCTCCACATCACTTCTCTCTACCCTTTTAATCATCCTGGCTAAGCCATCATTGTCTCTGATGACTGCAGTGACCACCTAACTGGTGTCCCTGCTCCTTTTCATGTCCTCATACAACTTACCCACATATAGCAGCCACAGTGATCTTTCTAAAGCAGAAATCAGATCAGGGCCCACCCCAGAGATTTCCACCATACCCCATGAGAGGGGCCTACTACCTTCCAGCCTCTGGCCCCTACCCCTGGCAGCTTCTCACAGGCCTGAGAACACAAGGAATGGGAACAAGTCCTGAGAACCCTGGACAAGGTAAGCTACTGGGAGAAGGACTGCTGGATCAGGAGTTAGTCCTCACCTGAAATGATCCACCTGGTTGAGCACATAAATATGGTGCTGGATCTTCTTCCTGCTTAGGAATCGGTGCATATGGGGCACAAAGACCAGGAGCTCTTCAAAGCGTTCACGGAAGGGAACCAGTACTGCCAAGCGGTGGGGACCCCAGGATTCATCTTCTTCCCAGTGCTCAGGAGGTGGCTCTGGGGGGCAAGTCCGAGGTGGACTTGAGGTCTCCTGCCCTTGTCCCCTGGCTGCCTGGGCCATATCACTAGAGCAGCTGAGCTGCAGCCAAAGTAGGGAGAAGAAGACCAACAAGAGAAAGGCAATGAAGAGGTGGAAGATGGAGCATTTCCGGCGGAGGCCTCCAGGGAGCAACCTGGACCTGGGACAAGAGCAGGGATGAGGTCAGAAGGACAGGACCAGCTATGATCATTTTGTCCAGCTGTGATCCTTTTGAGACCCTTTCTCTGGCCTCCTCACATGTAAGCCAAAATGACTGGTCCACCTAGGCACCTGGAAATTAGTGCATAAGCAACTTTAATGTTTCACTCATGCTACTGCCATACATGATCAGCTACAGGTCCAGCCTGTGCCACTCCACCTCTGGTTCACTCACCGACCACTCCCAGGTCTCAGGGCTGCCCCAGCTCCTCAATTTCTTATTCTGAGGAACAGTACTCAAGGGCAAGGCTCCTTGTCTCATATGTTTGTTTCTCTCCAGAACAGTGATTTGATATCCTGAATCAATAGCAGGAGCTCCAGTTTAGAGAGATGCAACCCACTCACTTCCAAACACATTCCCCAGAAAATTCACCCCAGCAGAAACCTTGGTTTTATCATGCTTCTCATGCCAATGAAAACTCCCCAAGAAGGGGTGTGTGCTGCATAAGCACCAGGAGAAAAGACAAATATTTACTCTAGGAAGCTCAGACATGCACCCCTAAACAATGTGAGATTCAAACAGATAGTGCAGTTCACTCAAACCTTCCATCCCAGAGGTAGCCCATAGGACAAGAGATTTGGACAGAAGATGGAAAGAAGGACAAGGGCTGGGTGAAACAGCTACACATTTAAGAAACTGGAAAAACAACTGAATATCTCAGATACTGGGATGATGCAGGGAGACTGCCCTTTAGGTTAACAAACAGGTGCAGAGCAGGTATGACACCATATGCTTATAATTCTGGCACTTGAAAGGCTGAGGCAGAATTGCAAGTTCAAGGCTGAACTGGTTACATAGGAAGGCTGCCTCAAAAACAAAGAAGCAAAAAAAAAAAAAAAGTGGAATTCACCTTTTCCCATCCTCTGGAAATTTCCAAGGATATTAAATCTGAGAAATCTAAAAAGGAACTCTATGGCTCCTCCTGCCCAAGTTATTGGTAAAGGAATCTATACTATAACCTTTAAGAGTCAAGGATTAGTTATCAAGTGTTACAGACTCTACCTCCTAAATTCTTCTGTTATCTTCCTCACCTACTGGTCCTTGCCCTGCTTTCAATCTTATACCTGAGTCTCCATTGTGTACAAGAAAAAGCCAAAGTCCTTGGTCTGTCAGAATCCTCTGATAAATTCTCTGACTTGATCAAATCTCCAGTTTCTCACCACTGTCCACTCTCATCCTGGGTAACACAAGGTCTTTCCATTTGCCACATTCCTTCCTGCTCCAGCTCTCTCTCACCCAGACTGTACCTACCTGGAAACTCCTTATTTTAACTGCCTGGTAGTCTCCTACCAGTCCTTCAGGTCAAACATCAACGTTGTAGCCAGCGCTGCCCCCATCATCTCCCTACCAAGTTCCCTGTTTTGTGTTCCCACTGCACTTTGCACTTCTTTCTTTATAGCAGTTAAGTATGATGACCTGCATGACCCCACTTGTCAGACCATGCCAGAGTCTTATCTGTGGCCCCAGGCCGAGTTAGACAGTGGAGGGCTTACCAAGTGAGTTAAAGGGTTAAAGCAGTCCAAGCATGCTTTAAGTCATACACTAGTGCCACACCAGTGCCCACCTTTCTGTATAGGGACAAGTGCCAATCTGGAAGCCAGCAGCCCTGAAGCCAGGCCCAGGTCCTACATGCAGCTGAGAGGTTGCCCAGTAGGACCCTCTCGCAGGGCTTCTGACTTACCCCCCATTGTCCTGTGGTGATGGTTTCCATTGGGGAGCAGCAGAGCCCAGACATGCAAATGGCCTGGAAAGTCTGGAGCCTCTAGAGATTCTTTCTTGTACTCTGGGCTCTTTCTGGGAGCAGGATGGAGATTTAGAAGATGGACAATGGGTAACAGCCCTCCTTTAGGGGAATAAACGGTAACCATTATCCAGGGTACAGCATGGATTGGTCATTCCATGCAATTTCCCATGCTGCTTTTTCAAATCCAGCCTGCCCTTCCTATCAGGATCATGTCCCTATTGGCACTTTCATTCTTTGCTCTAAAGGTCAATATCACTGATGAGTGAACTAAGCAGGCTGGCTCCTGAGCTAGCACTCAAGTACTACACCACCCTGCATATGTTATACGGATCTTCCTACTTCTGTGTCAAAAACACAGAATGGACATCAATATTTTTTTCTGAGAACACAATTATAGAAAAGGATCTGAAGATAGAAATTCTCTATTTCTTCCATATTATGATATTCATCAATCTTCAAATAGCTCTTTGAAGTTAATATGATTTCCCATTTCAGAGATGAAAGACTGAGTTCTGAAACACTAAGTAGTCTGTTTCTGGTCACTATAGACCATGCTTTCTGTTACATTCCTGTTTCAGTTCAACACCAAATCTAAAAAAAACCCCAAAGAGCTGTGCCCACTAAATTCCATAATCATATGGAGTTTAAACAAATTTAAGAGACATCAAAGGTTACTCACTGGGTATGCATCCAACTAACTGTTCTGGGGAAGAAGATTGAGGAGAGGGGTGCATATCTCAAGCCTCAAGTGTGAATGTCTCCATAAATATAGTAGGGAAATCACTTCGCCCATTCCTGTCAAGGAGAAATCTCTTAAGCCCAGGGCTGGGCCAGGCTCACACCTAACACCAGGAGCAGGCCCCAAGCAAGTGGAACTGCACAGGAAATGAACTAATGGGTGTGTGCGGAGTGTCTAGGCAGAGCCTAAGAAACATCATCTGGTGTGTTTTTCTGAGCTAGCAGCAAAGTATGAGAGAGCAGGAAGGAAAAGGGGATCTGAAGTCACAGGATGTGATGGGGAGAGAGACAAGTGATCCACTCACTGTAAGTCAACCAAGTCAGACATTCACACAACAGACGAGCCAGTGCGGTTGGGAGGGGGGTGGTGGGAGGGGGGCAATACGCAAAAGGACTGGCTTAGAGGAACAGAAATATAAAGGGAGATCCACCGAGAGAGGAAGAAATAGAGACCCGGGCGGAATGAAGGCTGGTAGACAAAGTCACACAGAGAACACACTGACACACAGAGAACCACAGACCCTCAGGGTCACCCCCCCCCCAAAAAAAAAAAAAAAAAAAAAAAAACCAAAGAATAAGGACATGATATGATCTTTGTTAATTACTACCTACTTGTGAATGTCATACAACTGGCTTTATGAGGAACCCGAAACGCAGAAGCTACGGCCTCGCGCTCCTGGATTCCACAAGCAGCCGGGAAAAGAATGACTCCCAGGCTCGGGCCCCGCCGCTCACCTGCTGTCCTCCCAGGGCAGCTGCGTCACCTTCCTCCGGGAGGGCAACATCGCGGGGGCGAACAGCAGCGCATGGGGCTCGAGCTCGCAGCCCAGCCGCCCGACCTGCGGGCCTACGCGGCATCTCCGCCTCAGCTCCGCCCTGCCCGGGCCAACCCCGGTCCGCCCCGTTCCGCCCCGGCTGTCCCGCCCCCGGTCCGCCGGGTCCGCCGCTCCGGCCAAGCCGCCTGCACCCCAGAGCCACAGCCAACAAGGTTCTGTTTACCGCAGGGACACTTGGGCGTTAGCTTCTCACTGGTCGCAGAGACCAGCTAGATGTCAAGAGAAAGGGAGCTCCAAAGGCGGAGCCACTGAAGTCCAGACCTCCAAACCTCTAGGATAAGGTTCGTCTCCCCTCCTTTACCCCCAGGATGGCTGGAAGCATCTCAGCATCATTGCTGTCAGTGCAGTAGAATAAGCACGTAAACTTGGAGCATGGGGTCCATTTCAGGATTCAGTGTTAGGTTCAGTAGACTCATCAAATAGTAGTTAGGAGCTGGGCTCCGAACACTGATTGGGCATGAAGCCCTGCCCTACCAGTTCAGCTATGATTGAGGGCAAGTCATAATTTTTTTGTGATGGTTTCACCACTTGGGTAAATATTTCCTTCCCTGTGTGGTCGTTGTAGAACATATAAACTCATTTGGTGCAGTGCTTGGCACACAAATATATAAATGATATCTGTTATCCAGGAAGGGGAGTTGAAGTGAGAACTGAAAGAGGCACTAAGAGACTAAGTTCCCTATATGCCTCCTCTTTGGGCAAATTTAGCCAGTACCCCACCCTTAGCCCTGCTGCCAGTCTCCCTCCTAGGAAAGGAGAATGACAGTTGCTAGACATGGCCTCTGCTCTTCTTCCAGGCAAACTTCTAATATTCTTGTAAATACCTAACACAAGTTCTACTTTGTGCCAGTCATGATTCTGAATTTTACTATTGTTCTTTCATTCCGTCTTTACAAATAGGTACTTACTATTCTCACTTGAAAGATGAAAGAACCGGGACAGGCATGGTGGTGTAAGTCTTAACCCAGTACTTGGGAGGCAGAAGCAGGCAGATCTCTGTGAGATCAAGGCCAGCTAGGGCTATAGGGAGCCCTTGTCTCAAAAAAAAAAATTTTTTTTAATTAAAAAAGATGAGAGAACTGAAGCACAAGCAATCTAGGTAATTTGTTTGTACAATCTGTGATTTTTTTTTCCCCAGTCCAAACCAAAAATCTATGATTTTAAGCATGTTGCTTCAGACTATGGGTGAGATGCTCATCATTCCAGCAACCTCTCCCCGTTAAATCCTGCCTCATACAATCTACCCCTTCCCCCTCCTGTGACTCTCTAAGGGCTCTGCATTCTACACCAGAAACTTAGCTAACCAGGCATAGATATGGCAGATCTTAAAGACTGATCTCTTACAAAGAGCAGTTAGATGAGGCAATGATGGGCCATGTGACCTGGAAAGCCAAAACACATCTAACTGGGACAGCCAGTACTCAGCCCAGCCAGTTGTTGCCACATGAGGATGAAGTCCCACTAGGGTTAGATCTCAGTATCTCAAGAGACTAAATTTCACATAAGAACCCAAGTTAGGGGCTGAAGAGATGGCTCAGCAGTTAAGAATGCAGAGGACCTGGGTTCAACTCCCAGCACCCACATAGTAGCTAACAACTGTCTGTAACTCCAGTTGTAGGGGAATCCGACGCCCTCATCTGACTTCTGCTGCATTGCACAATACAGGTGCACTTATATACATGCGGGCAATACACTCATACACACAAAAATATTTAAAAAAAAAACAAATTAGCTCATTTTAAAATGCAGCAGTTTTAAGTTACATTGATATTGAGTATGCTTGGTAGGATGTAATAAGAATGGCACTTGACTTCTAAGGTCTTCAGTTCAAAAACCCATACCACCCCCTCCCCTTGAAAAAAACACCAGGATAATTCCTGTTGAGGGAAATTCTACGAAATACCCAACTTGTATTCCTTAAAATCGAGGTATCATTAAAAAAAAAAAAAAAAGAAAGAAATTGTCACAGCTAAGAGGAGCCTAGGGAGACATGGTGACTAAATGTGATGGCATGGAATTCTTCAACTCAAAAAGGACATTAGGTAAAAATTAAGTCATTCTGTATCCACAGAAAGTAGACTTTAAAAACACTGTATTGACTAATTTTAATATATGCCATTCTAATGGATGATGTTAATAGGGAAAACTATTTTCACAATTTTTCTGTAATTCTGAAACTAATTTTTTTAAAGGTTGGTTTTTATTGCTTAATTTTCAATGTGGAAGCCAGAGTGGCAAGGAGAGCTCAAAGTATATCCTACCAGTAGGTCAAGTAACCCCCAAATGTCTCCTCGTCTTCATCCTCACACCACTGTATTCCCCTTCCTTACTTCATCTTCAGGTGTTTTTGTCTGAGACAAGGACTCACTATCCCAGGCTGGCCTTGAACTCCATAAATAGCTGAAGATGTCCGTGAACTGCTGATCCTTCCACCTCCAGCTCCTGAGTGCCAGGATTACAGTTGTGTGCCACCATACTGCAAGTTTATGTGGTGCTGGGACTTGCACTCAGGGTTTAGTGCATGCTAGGGAAAGTCTACAAACTAAGCTACATCCCCAGCCCTGAGGTAGTTCTCAAAAACCTTCCATAGGCTGAGGGTGTGGCTCTGTGGTAAAGCTCTTGTCTGGCTTCCATCCTCAGCATACTGGGACAGGAAAAAAAATCCCAAATTTTTGGTTGATGATGGAGAATACCCAGATCTTCTTAGGTCTTGAGGCTTTTATAACTTGAACCCAAAATTCCTTTCCAGCCTTCTCAAACCCTCCTCTCCAACTGACACAATGCCCATCTATCTCCACATCAAAGCTCTTTGCCCTGCCATCTCCTTTGCTCAGAATCCTTCTACGTGGGCCTTGCAAAAAAAATTGCTACTAGTTAAGTCCATCAGTATCCCTCACCTGCACCAGCTGGAAGAGTCTCCTTTTACACTTAAAGCATTCTCCTGTCCAGGACACCAAGAACTCTTTTGCATCCATGACAGTTCTGCCTACTTGTGAAGAAAGGGTATTTCACAGAACTGGTGCACAAGTTTTAGCCCCAACCCCACAATTTGTTTGTTTTGACAAATCCATTACCCGCTGTCTGCCATAGAAGGCATGGAGAAGATGGAAAGAATGAAGTTCACAAGTGGAGACCAATCTTAAAAGATGATGCACTTGCCCACTGGAAGATGTGACATTCCCTCAAGTCCCATGCAGTATGAAGCCCACTGAGAATAACTTTACACAGGACAAGTTTTTTGTGTTGTTTTGTTTTTTTTAATTGGGAAACCAATGTAACAAACCTAAACTCATTGACAATCAGTAACTAAGACACTGCAGGCTCTGTCCCCAACCAGCACCAAAGTCTCTGCTTGACCGGACACCAGTTTCTCAAGCCCCAGAAAGGACAACCATAAGAAACCAAGATCAACCTCTGGGCCACTTTGCCGCACTGTGACTCCCTCTACCCCACCTTTAATTGACATACATACACCCTGGATCAGCAAGCTGAGACTAGGCCAAAGGCAAGAAAAGCAAGGTTCCTAGAGAAGGAACAGGTCACAAACACACCTAACCTGCTGAAAATCCCATGTTAACAAAGACAGAAGGAAAACTGGCTTACCCACCCACCCATCCACATCCCTCCCTCAACCTACCCAGACAACAGCCTCACATCCCTGATCAGTAACATTGAGATTCTAAGACACCAAGGGCATCACCAGCCCCTGAGTGATGACTGTAAAAGGTCCAGAGGTGGAGGACTTGCCCCACTACCTACTCAGTATTAGCCAGACAAGTTGCTGCCCTCAGCTTGAGTCTTGGGTGTGTGTATGTGCACGTGCTTGTAGTCCCTCTCCCCTCTAGAACATCTATGGCTGAGAACCAGTCCTCCTGCCAGAGAGGTATCAGTCCCAGGAGGGCCTTTCTCCTAGAGCCTAGAAGGAAGATAGCCTGTGAGACAGCTACACCAACTTCTTGGCTTCAAAAAAACTCTTGAGGTGCCGCATCTGCCAGACGCCAATGGCCACAAGGATGAGGGTTTGCAGAATAGACCACCATAACACTCGCTGGTTGGTGCTCTCACTGGTCTGCCGGAAGCGTTCCTCTCGCCACTGTGGGGTAAATAAATGGCAAGTCTGAGTTAGCTGGATAGCACTGTTGGGTTCCCAGCCAGCCAGCATTCCCCAGGCCACCTGCTCTGCCCAAGTTCCAGCCAAATGCCTAGGGAGACTGTCTTCATCATCAACAGCCAGATGAATGAGGCAATTTCTAATGCATTTCTTCTAGGTCTATTTGTTCATCTGTTAGATACAATCCTAACTGGTCCTTTCCTGATAGAGGAGAGGTAAGAAAGTGCTGGTATCACTCCCATGGAACGGTGGTGTCTGGAGTGCTCAGGTGTGAACTTCTGTCCAGATCTCTCAAATTGCTCCTTGAAGATTATATATGCAAGCTGCAGACTGGTGGCCTGGACATGTTTTGTTTGGTTCATACAATGTTTTGTCAACATTTAAAACTCAGGAAAATTTCATGTAAAAACTATAGATTGCAAAAACTCAGATTGCATTTCTGCAAGGAGGTCTTAGATGACACTATACAGTAGTTTTCCCTGCTGAGAGGGGTCACTGACCTACAACTCCTTATAGTAACAGAGTCATTCATGGGACTTGCCTGGTTTCTGGCCACAAATTGAGACCATTGGTTCTGGGAGCACCTGAAGTCATTGATTCAGCACTGAAGGTGCATTTTTTTTTCGTTTTTTGGGGGGTTTTTTGGTGTTTTTGAGACAGGGTCTCCCTGTAGTCCCAGCTGGCCTGGAACTCTCTATGTAGACCAGGCTGGCCTCGAACTCACTGAAGGTGCAGTATTAATCACCATCCTGTCATTCTGTATGTCACTGTGATTTAGTGCGATAGGTTAAGAATCTGTGTCCTCATTACAAGATGGACCTTGTAAGACCCATTGTGGCACAGTTAAGTTCCCTGGGGTCCCAAATGACTCTTTCCTGCAGTTCCTGGCTGGGCCTGGGGGCAGCTTCCAAGAAGCCCACCAATCCCAGCCCAAGCGCTCACCCGCTGGTAGTTCTGCTCCTTTTGGATCTGTTCCACTTGTTCCACTAGCTGTCGCACTCGTAGCTGCAACTCGCTCAGCTTGTCTTTGGCAGCAATTTCTGCATAGTCATTTGCATGTTCACCCACTTGGATGTCAAGGTGAACTCTCTGGAGACAGATAAAAGAGGTAAAACAGTCAGACAGCCTTGCTGCCCTGACTGACAAGCTGATGCCTCTACTTTTCATTTGTTTATTTAGCCTATGGACCAAGATCTCCTCAGCACACAGTCCTATGGGGCTCTAGGCATACAAGCAATAAGCCTGGATTTATGCTCTGACCAGTGCATACACAGTTTGCTCTCTGGGTTCCACAGATCAGAAAGATCTTATTTATTTATTTAATTAATTAATTTATTTATTTTAAAGATTTTTATTATTTCTTGGGGCTGGAGAGATGGCACAGCAGATAAGAGCACTGACTGCTCTTTAAAAAGACCCAGGTTCGATTCCCAGCACCTATGAACCGTCCTTAACTCCAGTTCCAGGGGAATCTGATGCCCTCTTCTGACCTCCACAGCATTGCATGACATGATCCACTCACATACATGCAGGCAATATACACATAAAATACAAATAATACATTTTTAAAAACATAGGGGCTGGAGAAATGGCTCAGTGGTTAAGAACACTGGTTGTTCTTGCAGAAGACCCAGGTTCAAATCCCAGCACCCACATGGCAGCTAACAACTGTCCATAAATCCAGTTCCAGGGGATCTGACGGCCTCTTCTGTCTTCCGCAGGCATTGCACGACATGGGTGCACTTACCTACGTGCAGGCAATATACTCATACACATAAAATAAAAATAATAAAATATTTTTAAAAAGCATTAAAAGACTTTTATTATTTCTAATTGTGTGTGTGTGTCCGTGTGTGTGTCTGTGTGTGGGTATATGCACACGAGTGCAAGTGCTTGTGGAGGCCAGAGGCATTGGATCCCCCTGGAACTGGAGTTATAGGCATTGTGATCTACCTGATCTGGGTGCTGGGAACCCAACTTGGGTCCTTTGGACAAGCAGTATGTGATCTTAACTGCTGGACCATCTCATCAGCCCAGAAAGATTTTAAAGAGCAAAATAATAGACAAACCCATGTTTATACTGAGTATACAGATTTTTTGGGGGTGGGGGATAGCATTATTCTCTAAAGCAACACTGTACAATTTATATACATTATCATTAACATTGTATTAGGGACCATAAGTAATCTAGAGATGACTTAAAAGTATATGGCAGGGGCCAGGCATGGTGGTGCACGCCTTTTAATCCCAGCTCCCGGGAAGCAGAGGCAGGCGGATCTCTGTGAGTTCGAGGCCAGCCTGGTCTCCATAGAGAATCCGGGCCAGCTGGGGCTAAAGGGAGACCCTGTCTCAAAAAGACCAAAAAAAAAAAAAAGTATATGGCAGGATATGTATGCATTACATGAAAATACTATACCATTCTATATAATGGACTTGAGCACCCACAAATGTTGATACCCAGCTGGGTATCTATGAGGGATGCAATACAAATTTCTCAGTCACTGGGCCCTAGATGTCCACTGGAAATCCAGTGGTCATAAGAGACACAAAAATCCAATGTACTCACCCCACACTCACAGTACCAACAATCCCAGTCCTGACCAGGGTACACTGGCTGAAAGCCTTTAATCTCACATGGGCCCACTTACCAGCATACCTCCAGCAAAGAGGGAGAACTTAGTGGAATTGGAGTGAAGACAGATCTGGTGCTCACCCGGAGTATGGGAGGTGAATGTGAACCTGCCCTCAGAGCCATACTGCCGGGCCAGGATGACCTATAGAAAGGAGAGAGGTTTCAGTCAGTGTTACTGTAGGGAGGCTGGGAAGAAATGACCAAAACTCTAAGAACCACAGAAGTCAGCAAGAAAAGCCTTGGATACAACACAGCATTAAAGATCCAGAGTTACTGAGCAGCAGTTGCCAAATGCTTGCTGAGAACTATTTGGGGCAGGGTTGGAGGGTCTGAAATCAGGCTGGCAAGTGGCCACTCTTGGGAAGGGTTTTCCTTTAGTCATCTTTCAACTCTCTCTGTTATTTTGCTGCTTTTATTGCTGTTGTTTTAAGCAATCAAAGGTGATGGTAAGTGACAGCTAATTGTTTTTCATTTTAATACCATTACTTGTCAAAATTCAAAGCTACTCCTTTTTGGAAAGTGCTCTGTTCTGTGACATGCTAGTCACTACTCCACTGCCAATTTTTTATATTCATCACTAGTTAGTCCACCCATCGATTGAGTAAGATAAATGAATTTCCATTTCGTTGGGTAGGGAAGTGGTTCAAGGACAATAATTGACTTGGCAGAATCATGCAGCAGTCAGTGGGAAGCTGAAAAGAGCAACTACCAGTCCAGCAGCCCAAGTTTGGCCTGCAGTGAGAATCCAAGCTCTTCCCACACCACTGTCTTCCCTGCTTGCCTAGATGCGGAAACCGGTACAGGAGCTTGCTTGGCAGCGGGCTCCGCGCGTTAGGGACCAGCTCACCTTGTCGTCGGGGTCCTTCACCTCCACGAACATGCCAAGCCCTGGGGTGGCCGGCTGGTACTCCTCGCGCTGCTTGTCAAACAGCTGTGTCCTGTAATTTCCTGGAGACAAGCGGAAGAGCCCAGATCAGAAGAGCGCGAAGTTGCGCGCGGTGCACGGCCCACAGAGCAGGGCCAGCCGCTGCTCCAGATGGCTCGCACCCCACGCCCCAAGACCACCGACTTGTCCCAAAGGCTCCCTTCGCCCCCGCACCGATAACCATGGTCTCATCCGGAATCTCTTCAATAAAGCACTTCTTCTCTGTCTCCCCAATGTGAAAATACAGCGCGCTCCCACGAGCTGCAAACCACAGCACCAGCAGGAGCGCCCGCATCCCTCTACCCAGCCACCGTCCGGGTGGGGTCGGAACAACCGGGATGCCTTGCTCGCCAGCCATCTTGCCCCACCTGCCGCGCAGGCGCAGACTGCCGGGCCACGTAGCCCCGCCGAGGACGCCGCGGTGCCTGCCGGGACTGCGAATTCCGACGGATGGAACTACAAGTCCCTAGAAACCCCACGCCTCTGCGCGGCAGAACCCGATTGGGGTGGGTTGCTACCTGTCGTGGTAAGGGACCTTCAAATCCCGAGGCTTTGCTTTGATTCCATCAAGTAGCAGGGAGACTGAAGGTGATTGTCAGCCTTTTACACACAGTGAAACCGAGGCAGGTTGAGGTCACAGAGTGAATTACAAACAGAAGGGGTATTCGAACCTAGGATCCTTGACAGTCCTAGACATATATCTATATATGACCTCCAGGGGCACTGCACGACAGGGGTGCACTTACATGAAGGCAAAGCACTCATACACATAAAATAAAAATAAATAAATTTTAAAAATAATGGGACAAATAATGCATGGACTCATTCTAGAAAAAAATAAAAATTAAAGCCGTAGTATTTTTTTAACCACTTATTTATCTCAAAGCCGCTTCTATTCTTAAATCTAGTCAGTGTCCTCCAAGGCATTCGCGGGCCACCACCATCCCAAATAGGAGACCTCATGCACACTCTGCTACCAAATTTCAGCAACGGTGGTTCGTTTCCAACAAAGGTTCAGTGGTCAGTGTCTGGTGGAATAACGGTTTTGGCTTGGAACTTTGGATGTAGCTGCCCAGACATTGAGAGCTTGACACCTGCAGGAAATCACCGGAGATTTTATCCAAATTTCAGTGTGTTTTGGTAGCTCTTACTCAGTTTGTGTTTTATGGTTTTGACTACCTCATCGGTTCATAAATAATGGAGAATTTTTCTTTCCTTTTGATTCTGTTTTGATTTTCTAAGGAACATAATTCCACCCTTATCTATAAGGAATACATTCTAAGATTCCTAATGGATGCCTGAAACTATGGATAGTAGTACCAAACCCTTTTTTTCTTTGCTTTGTTTAGTTTTGTTTTATGACAGTCTCACTTATGTAGCCCAAGTTGGCCTCACTATGTTTCGAGGCTGAACTCAAACTCCAGGTTCTCCTGCCTCAGGCTCCACCAGATTCACCACACCCAATTCTAAAGCTTATTTATAGATTTTTCTCCTCGCACAGCCTTTAATAATGTTTTGTTTAATAATGGCTGTATATACAATGGCAGTCCATGAGACTATAATGGAACTAAGACATCCCTCTAGCCATTGTACAATGTACACATGAGATTATGTGCACTACATAATTCTTCTCAAATCTGTTTTTACTGAATTTTCGTGTATTTCATACAGTATATCTCAAACAATTTTAATCATCTTTATACCCCCATCCCCACCGGCACCCTCCCATGGTCCCCCCCACTGGAACCCATCTACTCTGTCATCTGTGTTAAGGCTCACTGTGTCAAGTCAGTGTCCCCAGATGTTCCCCAGTGCAAGTCCATCCACTGAGATCTAGTCAGCCTATCTAGAGTTCCTTGTTTTAGAAAGATCACCTCTTCCTCACCTAGCAGTAATCAGTTGCCAATATCACTTCAGATAAGATTAGGGTCAGCTGTTCATTTCCCCAGGTCTATGCTGGGTTTTTGTCTGCCTGAGTTTGCATGGGACTTGTGTATGCTGACACCATTGCTGTAGATTCATATGAGCAGGTTCCCAGGAGTTTGTAGGACTCTGTTTCCATATGGAAACATCTCCTCCCTGGCTCTTACAGTCTTTCTGCTCCCTCTTCCTCAATGGTCCCTGAGCCCTGGGTGGGTGAAGTTTAATATAGGAGTTCTGTCCAAGGACCAGCATTCTGCAGACTCTTAATATCTACGTTTTGGCCATTTGTGAACTTTTGTGCTCCTGGCCCTCTGTTGCATGAGGGATCTTCATTAATGAGAATTGAGAGACTCATTAGTAGCAGTACATAAATCCTAATAATGATAATAAATGGCTATATTACTGGTTTCTGTGTTTAAAATACTTTGTTTTTTATTGTTATCTTAGAGTGCATTCCTAAAAGAAACGAAGTTCACTTCAAAATTCTATGGACACTGAAAACACAACTCAAAAATGAAAGATATGAAACCAGGCATGGCGGCACACACCTTTAATCCCAGCACCTGTGAGGCACAGTGGAGGCAAGTGGATCACTGAGAATCAAGGCCAGCCTGGTCCACATAATGAGTTCCCCCAGGTTAGCCATGGCTATACAGTGAGACCCTGTCTAAAAAAAAATGTTTTTTAGTGAAAGAGAGGGGCTACAGATATTTCTTGGTTGGTAAAGTGCTTACTTAGCATGTATGAAGCTCTGGGTTTGATCTACACTGCATAAAACCCAGCATGGTGGTACATGCCTATAATTCCAGTGCTGGGAGGTAGAGGCAGGATCAGAAGTTCAAAGTCATCCTGGCTACATAACTTCAAGACTAGCTTCCAAAAGATGAGACCCTATCAGAAAACAAAGGAAAAAAGAAATGAAGACTCTAAGACAAACAGAACAACAGAAATGTGTGGCTTTGTACAGCTACTTTATAAGGCATTTCAAAGCAAGTTCTTCAGGCAGAGACAACCTGATACCAGAGAAAACCTTGGGTCTACAGGAGCGAATAAAGAGCTGTCAAAAGGATATACATGAAAGTAAAATCAATCTTACTTCATTCCCATTTTAATTGCTCTAAAGTATAATTGACTAAGTAAAAAAAAAAAAAAAGACTCTGACTCTGGGTTTGATCCTTAGCAACCCCACCCTACCCAAAATAGCAAATGTGTTGTGTTTTCAGCAGATGTGAGTAAAATATATGACAACAGCATAAAAATAGGAGAGAATATTGAGAATATATTTTGTAAGATCCTTGTGAATTTTTTTTGTGTGTGTGTTTTTGAAGCAGGGTCTCCCTGTATCCCCAGCTGTCCTGGAACTCGCTATGTAGACCAGGCTGGCCTTGAACTCACAGAGGTCCGCCTGCCTCTGCCTCCCAAGTGCTGGGACTACAGGCGTGCGCCACCATGCCCGGCTTATTTTTATTTTTATTTTATGTGTATAAGTGTAATGCCTGCATGTAGGTAAGTATACTCATGTCATGCAATGCCCGTAGAGGTCAGAAGAGGGTGTCGGATTCCCCTGGAACTGGAATTACAGGTTGTTAGCCACCATGTGGGTGCTGGGAATCAAACCTGAGTCCTCTGCAAGAGCAGCCAGTGCTCTTAACCACTGAGCCATCTCTCCAGCTCCTGAATTATTTTTAAAATGTCAGGATGGGGGCTAGAGAGATGGCTGCTCTTGCAAAAGATCCGGGTTTGGTTCCCAGCACCCACATGGTTTCTGTTTTGGGGGCTCTGATGCCCTCTTCTGCTCTCTTCTGACCTTCATGGGCATTACATGCCATGAATGCACTTACATACATACAGGCAATACACTCGTATACATGAAGTAAAGGTAATAAATATCTTTTAAATGTTAGGATGGGCCAGATGTGGTGGCACACAACTTTAATCCCAGTGTTCAGGAGGCAGAGGCACGTAAATCTTTGTGAGTTCAAGACTGCCTGGTCTACATAGGGCGTTTCAGGCCAGCAAGGCTGCATAATAAGACCCTGTCTCAAAAAAAAAAAAAAAAAGAGGAAGAAGAAAGAAAGAAAGAAAAAAGAAAAAGAAAGAAAAAAGAAAAGAAAAAAAGGGAGCTGGAGAGATGGCTCAGCAGTTAAGAGCACTGGCTGCTCTTCCAGAGGACCTGGGTTTGATTCCCAACACTCACATGGTGGCTAACAACCATCTATAACTCCAGTCACCCTCTTCAGACCTGCGTGAGCATTGCACAGCATGTGTACACTTTCATACATGCTGGCAATACACTCATACATATAAAATAGTAAATAAAATATTTTTTAAAATTTTATTTTGTATGAGTGCATTGCCTGCATGTATGTGAGTGCACCTGTGTCATGCAATGCCGCAGAGGTCAAAAGAGGGCTTTGGATTCCCCTGGAACTAGAGTTAAAGATGGTTCATAGCCACCATGTGGGTGCTGGGAATCGAACCCGGGCCCTCTGCAAAAGCAGTTAGTGCTCTTAACCGCTGAGCCATCTCTCCAGCCCCAATAAAATTTTTAAAAATATGTTAAGCCCAGGATGTGGTGGCACATACCTTTAATCCCAGTACTATGGAGGCAGAGGCAGGTCGATCTCTGTAAGGTTGAGGTCAGCCTGGTTTACACAGCAAGTGCCAAGCCAGCTAGGGCTACAGGGAAACTCTGTCTCAAAACACCACACATACCCCTCCCCCCAAATGTCAGAATGCTATGGAATAAAGTGTTTTATTTTGAAACCAGAAAATACCAGCTACAAACCAAGTAAACTTTCTACATTGTCTTAATAAATCATACCTCAGGAAGGAAGGGAGGATTTTCTCATTATAGAATTATTCCAACTTCAAGTGAATTAAAACATAACCATTCTGTAACCCTTTAATAATTTCATAGGTCTAGCAATGATCATTAGTTACCTACTAAGTAACAGACAACTGGATAGAATGTGTCTCCCACAACATGACTCATGAAACAGTCTTTCCAAAAAGCAAATAAGAATCTCATCTTTTTATAACTATAAAGTGTCATTGTTCATTTTTATTAACAATCTCATCCAGTAATTCAACAATAATAAAAACAATTCTGCACTCTCCCTCTCTTTCTTATTTTTAAATTTTTATTTATTTTTATTTTATGTGTATGAGTGTTTTGCCTGCATATAAGTGCACTACATGCATACAATGCCCACAGAGTCCAGAAGGGGGCGTCATGTCCCCTGTAACTGGAGTTACAGATGGTTGTCAGCTGCCATGTGGGTGCTGGGAACCAAACCCATGTCCTCTGCAAGAGCAGCCAGTATCCTTAACCACTCAACCACTGAACCAACTCTCGAGTCCTCTCCCCCTTTTTTTTTGAGACAGGGTCTTGCTAAGTAGCCCTGGCTGACCTGGAACTTGCTACGTAGACCAAGCTGGTCTCAAACTTCTAGTGATCTTCCAGCCT